ATCTATCTATCTATCTATCTATCTATCTATCTATCTATCTATCTATCTATCTATCTATCTATCTATCTATCTATCTATCTATCTATCTATCGTTTGCAGGTTACAACAGAAAATTATTTATCATTCTCACGTGGATGGGACGTTTTGGCTGATAAGAGGTTAATCCCATCTGTGTAAACTCGATGCATATAAACTTTAACACTCAATATACCACTTTCTCAACAAGTAAACACCCCGTGTTCGTTCCCAGACGTCCCATAAAAATACTATTTGCTCTGATTGTTGCACCAAACTTTACTGTATAGTGTAGTTACTGCTTTTGATCTTTGTCTTTTTAAGTCTTTCTGCCCCAGTCTTGTTTGGCCCACAGCCTTCTCCTGTGTAGAGAGAACAGATTCTATCAGAGCCGTTTACTTGTTGAGAACGTGGTATAATGAGTGTTAAAGTTTATATGACACACAGACTTGATTATCCTTTTATCAGGCTAAACGTTCTCGTTCTCGTTCTCGTTCGCTGTCCGTGCCCAGTGCGCGCTCCCGACGCATGGGAAACAAATTCTGCCGGGGGAATAACTACCTTGGCACACCTGTCTGGAGTCTGCATGCGTTTACAGCAAGGACCGCGATCCCTGTTCACATTCTTCTATCCTTCTGGAACAGGAGGTAAAAGCGGAAACGTTAAAGAGCTTAATGAATTTAATGTAAACTTTTGTCTGTAAGATTAGTGAAATGTACGCATTATTCAAAAAAGAACCACTGCAAATGTGTTAAAGGATTCTTGGTGGAGTGAGAGAAACATTGTGTGCTCATCCTTATGCCAGTCTGTCTGGAAATGAAACTTATGACATCGTTACGTCAACTCAATTTTTTTTTCTGTTCAGACCAAAGTAGCAACATACATTTAGATTTGGTTCTTTCAAGAAACAAATGACTGAAGGGAATTAAGAACTGAAAATAATAATGTAAGTTGTTTTTAAATGGTTTTTAATATGCCATCGGGGTAGTTTTGACTGAATGAAGACGTCTACACAGTGGTGGAAAGTAACAAAAATTTCATTACTGTGGCTACTTAAGTAGAATTTTCAGGTATCCCTACTTTACTTGAGTAGTCTTTTTTTCTGATAGACTTTTAATTTGACTCCCTACATTTTTAAACAAATATCTCGACTCTCTGCTCTTTCCATTTTCAAATAAGGCTCCTTAGTTTTGGTTTAAGGCGTGTCTGAGGGGAGTTATTATTTCTGTCACTGAGCCTTCAAACACCAAATAGTCTCACAGTGTGATGTGAGCTAGAGGTCCAGATGCTGTATTTACAGGGAGAGAAAAGCTAAATTAGGTTACTTGTTTGTTGATGTTGGTTTGATCCTTTTTATTATGATGATGCAGGAACAACAGCCTGTTTTAGCCTTGGAAGATGTAACTAGGTTGCTAGGCAGATTTTGCCAGCTAGCTACTTCTTTTCTTACTTTTGTGTGTGATCCAAGAGGTTGCGTTTTCGTTTGTTTGCTGTGTTTTTGCACATCTGCTTCTGCAGCATTAACTTTATTAGCACCAATCCATCTCCACAACGCAACACACCCTTCCTACGAACGTGTTACACTCAGATTTGCATTACTGGTGTTTGTGTGACAGTTTAAGTTTCATTTTCTTTTCTACGCAAAAGGCAGTGGCTCTTTCATTTGCGGTCTGTCCTGAGCTGCAGCTGCTGGTAACATCTACTTACAGGAGTTATGTCCACGCCTCGTAAAGAGATACTCAGGTAAGTTTAACTTTTAGTATTACAAAGATAAAGATTGCAAAGATACGTGAGTGGCCCATAGCAGTCCATACCCTCAAATAACAGCAAGGAAAAAAAAGACCTGGCAGTACAAACAAATGTTAGAAATTAAATGGCTGCAAAGTGATAAAGTGAAGTTAGACATCTCCAAAGGTTGACTCTGTTCATAGATAGAGCATGCATCAAGATGAAGTTAGAAAGTAGTTGGATTCTGTAAATCGCTTCTAAATCTGAAGCAGGTTGCCTTCCAGGCTGCTGCAGGGACGGTGACACACACCTGCACCTGGCTATATCACCACATTTTAATTAGTTTCTGCTTTTCAGACTCATGTTTTGAGGTTGCTGATATTGTGTTTTAAGTGTAACATGTCAAACTAAAAACCTTCAATTTTCATGCTGTTCTAAATTTGTTAAGGGTCTTCCTCTAATGTGTACTTGTGTTTTTCTTATTAGCTTTGGTGGCTTTAGCATTGGACCTCCAGCAAGTACAACCAAACCCTCAAGTTCTAATGGATTGACAACACTCACAGCAGCTCCAACTACTTCAGTCCAACCTGCTTTCGGCACAACAACTCTCACCAGAGATGATAACAGCGAAGTCACAAATAGTTCAGAGACAAGGGAACCAAGACCTCAGTTCACATTCTTGGGTGAGCCTCCTTTTACACAAAGTTCTTTTGTCAAAGACCCAAATAAGTATGAGAAACCTTTAACATCTCAAGTCCTGTGTTTCACCACGCTACTGTGAAGCTGTCTTTACACAAAGTGCAAATAGCTTTGGAGATCCATGATTTCCTCAGGGATTAATAGTGATTCTGATAATAAAGTTGGACATTTTGTTCTTTCTTTTTTTGGTTACAAAGTCATTTTAATCAGTGGCATTCAATCAGGGCAAGAAAGACAAGCAGTGCTTATCTGGTGAAATCTACAAACAGACATCAGTTACAACATAACAAAGAAAAGGGTGTTTTTCTTTCATCTTAAACATCATTCTGACATGAAGCTTCTGTAATGCCTGTTGCCATTTATTCTTTGCATTACTGCCATCTTGTGGTCACAATTGTTTATTATCTCTGGAAGCAGAATGAACTGCTTGATTACAGAGCTGCTGAAATCTGAATGGGGTATTAGTCCTGTGACAGACTGGCGACCTGTCCAGGGTGTACCCCGTCTCTTGCCCTTTTGCTAAATTTCTGGTTCTGGGTGATTTTTATATATTAAATATATTTGTTACACTTTTTAAAATTAAGATGTAAGCCTGTGTTTCTGAGCTGGTTAAAAT